TATATTCAGGGGGTCTCAGTTTCAATCCTTGTCATCGCCACACAGAACAGAAATAAATTAAATAAAGGGCTGTGAGTGTAATGGCAGTAGTCATGTGAAGATGTAAATAATTTGACCTCCTAAAGCAGCCTTCATTAAAAATATACCTTACACCAGTGATTCTGAGCCTCTTGCATCTCAGAAATTTTGTCACAAGAAAACAGTCACTAGTCCCAAGAAAAACAAAGCTTGGTTATTCCAAAAAGAGTACTTTTATGGTTATGTATGTTCTTATTAATCATTAATGGAAATTCTTAATATTGAGACAAGTTCTGTCCAGCTGACCATCAGTATGATAAATGTGATGCATCAGCTGGTGGAGAAAAGCTGCCTTATACAATATTACAATTGTCACAAACCTTTTAGAGAACTATTTGTTTTAATATGTTATTATGTTGCAGGCATATGAGAAAGGAATAGCATTGTTTAAATGGCCGAATGTTTATGATATATGGAACACATACCTGACAAAGTTCCTGAAACGTTATGGCGGAACAAAGCTTGAAAGAGCAAGAGATCTCTTTGAGCAGTGTCTAGAGAACTGTCCACCAAAATTTGCAAAGGGTGAGTATAACAAATGTGAGCTTGAATGTAATTCTTTGGGTTCTTTAACTTTTATATTCACACCATGGCTCAAGTGGTTAGTCACTGGCTTCGCACCGTGATGGCCCAGGTTCGATTCCAGGTCTGGTCAAGAGGGATTTGTGGTGGACAAAGTGGCGCTGGTGCAGGTTTTCTCCAAGTACTTCAGTTTGCCCTGCCAATCTTCATTCCACCAAATTCTCCATCATCATAATCACCTTCGGCAGGTACAATAGGCCAATCAGTGGCCGACGTACCGAGTGGACCCAGCTTGACTCCACCCCCCACTATGTGAATTAATTAATACACTTTTATATTCATGGTTTAGACTCTTGGCATGACAAGTTGGTACAGCCCAGTCATTGTCAACACATGTGATTATGTAGCTTCACCTCCATGCCCCATATATACATATATTTCATGATCCCTGTATGACATCACATTTCTCTGCTTCAGCACTGTACTTGCTATATGCAAAACTGGAAGAGGAACACGGAATGGCAAGACATGCTATGGCTGTTTATGAGAGAGCAACAAAAGCAGTGTTGCCAGAAGAGATGTAAGGAGGTAAGGAGGATCACTTGCTTCAAGTTCTCTTTATTTTTTCTCTAATGTTTCCACTTTTATTTGGGTCCTGTGACAACCAGCCTCTCCTCCTCAGTTTCCTCCCCTGTTCTTCCTCTTGGGTAGTTTCACTTTGTCCTTAAAATGTGCCCTTAGTACAACATTCTGTTTTTTATTAATTTATCTGGTGCACGCAGTAGCGTAGTTGGATGAGGCGCTATGCTATAAGCCGGAAGGTCATGGATTCGATTCCCGATGATGTCATTGTATTCCTCACCTCTTTAACAGAAATCAGTATCTGGAGTCTTCCTGTGAGGTAAAGGGCAGCTGGCGCTTAAAGGCTAACAACCTCACTGCCATCTATGAGTTGATTGTCTAGGACAGTGGTTTTCAACCTTTCTTGTTCACACCCACAGATATAATTTCTCTTCAACTCTGTACCCCCAAATTCAAGTTATACGCAATCTATAATCTACATCTAAAATAAATAAGTTATGTCCAAAATAATGTATTAAATAATAGTTTCAAATGAGAAAAAGGAGAATCAAGCTATTAGATAACAGTTATATTATTGCCAATTATATAAAAATTAACGAAGGAACAAAGGTATTTTAGCAAAGCAAAATTATATAATTAAATATTTTATCAATATTAATGTGGTTCTTGCCTCTTAATGAGATGCTTGAATTTGTTTCTGGCGTGCCAGCACCTCAATTCACGGACAAATTTTAATTTTATGTACCCTGTAAGATGCCTTCACATACCCCTGGTTGAAGACCATTGGGTTAGATAATGTGGGAGCTCCGATGTCTCAAAACCCTACAGGCCTGCAGGCCCTGCTACAGGGATAGCTTAACCTTATTAATTTATCATTCTTCCAGTGTATTTCTTCATGATCCATATTGTAGCATGTAGAACCGTTGCTACGCAACAACTGCATAATGGGCGGATATACCAGGGCCGTTTCTTGGCAATGCCTAGGTAAGCAGGTTCCCACAGCAGTAGAAGAACTGTGTTTTTTTATGTGGTCTATGCTGAGATGTTATAAACAAGGGATAAGGGTGGACCCAGTCTGATCTCTATGGGAGACTGTGAAGAGAGGACTTGAGCCAGAGACAGAGGAATAGTCATTGTTGGGGCCGTTACCAGGAAACATCTAGTAACAGTGTTATATTTTAGCATCCTGTTACACTGATTCATATCCATGGTTTATGCTGACCGTCTTACAGTGTATACACTTTTTCACCTTATTCTTCACTTCCACACTACGTGTTTCGGCACTTATGTGCCATCTTCAGGTGTCTTTATGCACGTTAAACTGTTGTACTGCATGCCATGATGTCTTCATTCTAAAATGACTAAAACACAACACAGAACACGATACACAAATACATGTAGGAAGAATGCTCACATAAAAGAGGATTGGCGTAATTCGCGTGTTTGAGTGCGAAGTAGGAAGGATCCTGAAAAGTTTTATTATTTAGAATTCATCGTCCTATATGACGAATACAGATTTTAGTCATTTTAGAATAAAGACATTATGGCATGCAGTACAATAGTTTCAGCATAACCATGGACATCTAGTAACAGACTGAGAACACGAAACTGTGTGCTCTGGTGGACTGTACAATGTAGAAATAGCGATAGTGTTATAGTTATTTGTAGTTATGACCTGTAAGTGATCAGTAATCTATTCACCAATCCAAACTCCATCTGTAGTCTCTCACATACTATGTGGCAGCATGTTAATATGGGCATGTAGTAATTTTAAATAGACAGTTTTACTTGAAGATGTTTTTTCATGTATTTCATATTTGCATATTTTAATGAATTTCTTTTTTTTTTTATAATTTTTTTAATACAATGATACCAACAAGTATTGTATATTTCCTATTTAAGAGTCTTTTGTAATGAAAGTACTTTAAAGACAAATCAGTGATACTGTATAAAAATGAATGCTTGAAAAAGAATTTGAAAACCTGAACTGACTGCAGTTATTAAAGTTTGCTGTTTTGTTTCAGCTGTTTAATATTTACATTAAAAAAGCTGCAGAAATTTACGGAGTCCCTAAGACACGGCAGATATATGAGAAGGCGATTGAAGTTCTTACAGAGGAAAATGCACGGGAAATGTGTTTGAGGTTTGCAGAGATGGAGACGAAACTTGGTGAAATTGACAGAGCCCGGGCCATCTACACCCACTGTAGTCAGATGTGTGATCCAAGGGTATGTTACTTTTTGTTCATTTTCTTCACTTCACCTGTGATGATTTAAAGGCGAAGATGAAGGCTGAGTTCCTGAGCTTTGTTTTTCAGTTGAATTTGCTAGATGAAATCTAAAATGTGTTCTGAGGTGAAATTTTATTTCTGTTTACAAATTTAGATTGTTGATTTCAGAATAACTGTTCACAATTGCATTGTTCTTGTATTAATATCAACAGGTGACAGCAGAGTTCTGGCAGACATGGATGGACTTCGAAGTGCGTCATGGGAATGAAGACACAATGAGAGAGATGTTGAGGATTAAACGAAGTGTGCAAGCTACATATAACACTCAGGTATGTGCATTAATGGTATTCCAATTCACATTTTTATTTATGGCAGTAAATTAGTTAGGAATAAAGACTGTAGGAAGGGAAAAGAAAGGCGTGTCTGATCATAATAAAACGGCTATCTGGTGCTGGCTAACCAGTTTCTCCCATATATATTCACATTATAATATTGTGGCGTGTTGTGCAATGGAGGACAACCCCTCACCCCGCCAGCGGTGATGTAACACTTCTGGAGTGTTGCCGTTGCTACGGTAATAACCCAGACAACACCCAGCCTCTCCCCACGGTGATGTAACATGGGATGCCGCCGTTGCTACACAGCCATAAACAACTCCCAACAGCGTTACCAGTAACATCGGCTAGAACGGCGGCAGACAGCAGTGGTTGCGAGAGACGACGGTAATAACAGTGGTAGCTATTACGTGGCAGCTTTCTGTGTTGTCGGGAACGGGGCTAAATAAGGAGCAGCGAAGACTATTCAAGACAGTTATCAATCTAGCCAGCCGAGAGTGATGAGTTAGCCAACAACCAGTCAGTTGAATTCTGGCATTTGCAGTCTAGTATTTGTGATACTGCATATAGCAGTAATTGTGAATCTGTAAGTTGGGTGCTTGTAAGAGCAAATGTGGAATAAAATTCGCTATATCCACTAAGGCGTGAAGTTATTTGTCACGTTATACACCTAACACGTGAAAATATTATTTGTGCTGCATTTTTCTCTGTTGGGAGAGCAGGGCATCAGAATGCGACTTAGCACAGTTGCCTGTGTAACATTACCTGGTAGGGAGAAGATAATGAGAGGAATGGTTGTGCATGAAGTATCAGGAGAAACATCACACAGGAGCTCGCTATATATTTCTGGTATTTCCTCTGCTACATACAGACTTTTGAAATTTAGGACTGAAATAAAATTTGTGACATACTTTACCTGAGAAAGGCCGCACCATAGCTCAAGCGGTTAGTTGCTGGCTTCCCACTGCGGCAACCCGGGTTTGATCCTGTGTCTGGTCAGGTGGGATTTGTGGTAGACAAAGGGGTGCTGGGTCGGGTTTTCTCCGAGTACTTTGGTTTCCCCTCCCAATCTTCATTCCCCCAAATTTTCCATCATTATAATCACCCGGGCCAGGCTACAATAGGCCAGTCAGTGGCCACTATGCCAAGTGGACCCAGTTGGACTCCACCCTCCACCAAGCGAATTAATTATTACCTGAGAAAAGCAGACACCATTTTTAGAGACATATGCTAACAGTCCAGACTTTGTGTCATGTACTAGAAGACACCACAGTCAGTTACCTCACTTAACCTGAAGAAACAAAAGCAGTTTTATTACAGTAATTGAACTGTATTTTCAGAAAGTTGAAGCATCATATCTTGACTAAACATTTGTGTTTCCTGAACAGGTGAACATGATGTCTGCACAAATGTTGTCTGCAGCCAGCAATGTATCAGGAACTGTTGCAGATCTTGCACCAGGAGCTAAGGATGGTATGAGAATGCTGGAAGCTAAAGCTGCACAAATGGCACATCTGGAGAGACCTGGTAAGTAACTGTAGACCAGGCACGTCCAACTTGAAACAGGTTTTGATCGACTTTTTAGTGTCAAAACTGCCAGTGATCTACCCCCCCCTCCTATCGTCGTACCTCGCTTTAAGCAAAAATATTGGTAAGAATAACATGACACACGATGTTTGTTGCAAAAGCAATATACATGGAAAGTACAGACTACTTTAACACGTATTTTCCCTTCAAAATCCGAATATAATCATATTATATTACAAGTGAATTTACATGCTTTTCACGTATAATTTCCGTATAGGCCTATGAGATTGACCAAAAATCGTCCTGCAAACGACGCGTTGGACATGCCTGCTGTAGACCATATATTCATTGCAATGAAATCCTGAGTGTTTGAGACTGTATGAATGAATGTGTTATACTTATTATCTACATAAATACTTTCGTTGGTAGTGTAAATTTACTTTGTGATATCTGTACAAAAAGAACTACAGGAACTTTTTACATTTTACTGGAATTCAACCTGACGGTAAATTAAGTTGATCTCAGTAAACTGCTACATGCAGTTTGAAGCTTGACAAGTATTGTCCCAGTCCACTAATATTATGGGTGTTTGTTTGGTTTTGCAGCTCAGCAGCAACCTAAAGGTGGCAACATATTGTTTGTGCGTGGAGAGACGCAGGGTCAGGACAGAGATGGAACTGACACAACTCAAGTCATCAATCCTGATGAGATCAACATTGACTGTGATGAAGAGGATGAAGATGAAGATGATGATAGTGAGGATACACTGTAAATTTAAAGTAAAGAAACAAAACAAACTCGTGGTTTGAGTCTGCAAGCAAAATATACGAACCAAGCGACTGCCGCCTGTCGGCGAAGTTAGTGCCAACTTTAGCGGATAGAGGGTGTCGCATGTTCAGTGCAGTGATCCCCACGGCCATTAATCTCAGTTTTTTAGTCCGAAGCCACTATTTCCTTGAAGTAGCTCCTCAGTTATCCTCACAAGGCTGAGTAGACCCCATTCCAGACCCACTTCTCAAAAAATCTGGTAGTGCCGTGAATCGAACCCGGGACCTCTGGCTCTGTAGGCAGGAATTTTGACCACTAGACCACAGAGAATTTCTAAAGATCATTTGTAGGATGTAGAATTTGCTTTCTTAATATTTACGTTTTTTCATTTCTGATAGCTGAATCTGAAGTTAATATATAATTTTCAGACAATTATTCTTTTATCAGATTCTTCATTGGCTCTGTTTATCAGTGGTAACAGATTAGAAAAAGTGTTATAGAACATTGTCAGAACCCTTTAGAATCTACAAGAACTATTGTGTTTACTTTAGTCTGATACAAGGCATAACTCCCCATTCCAACATCCATTCATTGAAAAATAAGGAAACTGTAAGTTATTTCCTCCAAAATCTGGAACTCAAAAGCTACCTGTATCACAGGAAATCCATAGTTACCGGAAAGACATCTACAGAGTTTTCAAAACATCTTGAATTACTAGTATACAGAACTCACAAGTTCATTCTTAAGACCTGCTGCAGTAAGCACTTTTAATGAACTTCTGTTATCAAACCAGGTACATAAAATGTATACAGAAGTATGCAGTCTACACAACAATATTCTGTATTTAAAAAAAAGTAGACACTCTCATATCAACATTTGTTTTTATGGTCGCAACATGTTTCGACCCTTGTACTGGGTCATCATCAAGAGTACAATGATAGCAGACTCAGTTGTTAAGTTGCATCTAATTCTTCAATAAGGATTCTTATTGTGCACTTGAGTGTTTTTAAATGGATATATTGAGTCGTTCAGTTACAATTTTTAAATACTCAGGTAATAAAATTTAAAAATTAGAGACTAAAGATTAAAACATAAAAATTAAAATTGTACTAAAATGGAAATGAAGTATTTTGCGATAAATCTCTTTAAAACTTTGTGGCCGCTGTGTGTTGACGTGATTTTCTGGTGGTAGGAGCGACAGTAGTGTGGGATGCCTGCGTATCGGGATCTTCTCACATAAGTTAGGTCGTGTGGTCTTGACCTTACTGTCATCTTGTGGAGCTTATGCTCGTTATTCTGTGTCACCCAACAGGGTGTTTATCTGGACTGATGTATATTTGATTTTCTTATGATGATATATGCCTGTGTTGATGTTGCTGTGTTGTAGCGGTATACTGTAAGGTTCGAAATGTAGTATCTACTTTGTTTTAAATACAGAATATTGTGTAGACTGCAGACTTTTGTATACATTTTGTGTACCTTGTTTATGACACACAACAGGATGCATGCTATTTAAAGATTTCTGTTATCTTTCCAGATTTTCCAGTACAAAAACAGCCAATTCCCCAGGAAGTATTTGGAAGTCTGAAGAAACCACATGAAGATGATGATGATGATGATGATGATGATTGAAATTGGCACCATGTGTCGCTTGACTCTCAAATAAATACAGACAGGGGAAGAATGTTCATATACTAAATGGGTTGTTAATGTGTTACAGTATAATTTCATATACTGCTGAGTTTCATACATATTTTAATGTTAACTTATTTTCATACATTAGAAAAATCTCTGAAACTGAGCAAATGACAGTAATTGTCACCAAAAGAGTATGGTGATCAGTAATGTTAAACAGTTTCAGTCATGTGACATTTTATAGTGGCAGTTGCTAATCTGCAAGTGTAAACGTGTTTTGTGTAACTGAAATATAAAAGACACTGAACCAGTGACATGACAGCGCCTTCTGATATTCCATACCCTTCACAAGTCATAAACTGTTTTCTTGTATTCCAGCAGCATCATCATCTTCAGGAGTTTTGCATGAATATTATTCAGAATTTATGGACTGAACAATATAAGAAAGGTCCCTTCTATATGATACCTCTTGCTGCTGTAATGAAATGTAATGAGTTGGACACTGTATTTGTAACATTTGATGACAGTTGAGCCTGTGATGTTATTGACGTTACATCCTTTTGGATTCCACCAAACATTATGAGTTCTCCTTTGCCTGCAATCAATGTGTAAAGAATTTTTTCTTCTGGTTCACCATTCAAAGCACTGCAAGGCTTTGTAGGAAGCCATTCCACATAGCAGTCATCAGTTAAAACATGTGATATATCCAGAACAAACATAGTCATGGCATTTTTTGTCGCCTGAGATTTAGAAGGTGATGGACTTGGCAACACATTTATGTTATTGGCACTTGCTGGATCAAGTCTAGCTGCAGTGGGTATATTGCTTGTAGGAATGTTGCTGCTACCACTACTGCCAGTTCTTGACAGATTGCGTATCCTTTCCTCCATGCGTCTTAAGGATTCCGGCTGGCGTTGGCGATTCTTGGAGACATTAGGTTTCACTGCTGGAGATGGATCAAGAAATGCTGCCATACCTAAACTACCTGGCCCTGAATTTTCAGGATCATTGAAGGGTGATGTTATCAAAGATTTTGGTGGACAATTAAGTTGATTTGTTCTGCCCTGGTTATTAAGTGGGTGATGGTGTTCGTGAGAAGGTTGACTACAGGATGGGCCTGGTACTTCATCAATTTCTTCCCCACTGCTAGAACTTGTAGATGTCCCAGCTTGCTGACCACTTCCTGCTGTTGTAGACCTGGGACCTAGGATTCCACGACGCCCATTGACATTAAGATCCCTATCTGCTGGCCGAGCCTCAACCAACCCCTCTGATGCCCTAAAAGAAACAGTATGCACACTATACAGTGAGTGACAGGTATTTAAGTATCCATATTGAATTTTCAGACATATGTTTCGTAATGTTTTTCAGATGAGAAAATTACAATGGAATTTTGTATTCTAATGCCAGTCTTCAGCAGTTAAGATGATTAAGATTTAGCAGAGAAAGGTGGGAAAACTACTACTACAGTTGTAAGATTTGAGGCTTTCACGGCGGTGACTATGAAGAAAGCAGTCTTCTGGGATTTGGCACCATGTATATGTGGTGTTAACCGACGTTTTGGAGGAACTTATCGCCTCCATCTTCAGGGTAGAAGAAAAAATATATAAGAAATCTGCAAGCAAAGAGACCGTGAGAACCGGTAAAAGCAGACTGCTTATACCCTGAAGATGGAGGCGATACGTTCCTCCGAAACTTCGGTTAACACCACATATACGCGGTGCCAAATCCCAGAAGACTGCTTTCTTCATACTACTACAGTTCATAACAGCATGTGAAACCCATGCTCCAGGCTTCTCTGTTACTACATTATGCTAGAAATTAATGTTCACAAGGAGGCACTATGGTACAAGCCAGAAGGTCGCGTGTTTGATTCCTGATGAGGTTACTGGATTTTTTAATTGACCTAATCCTTCCAGCCACACTGTGGCCTTGGGGTTGCCTCAGCCTCTAACAGAAATGAGTACCAGGAATCTTCCTTGGGGGTAAAGGGCTGTCGGCACATAAAGCTGACCTCACTGCCCTCTTTGAGGCAAATGTGTAGAAAGCGTGGGAATCTCGATGTCTCACCAAATATGAGCCTCCATGGCCTGTTACAGGAATATAGCTTTACCTTTTAATGTTCACAATTAGTCTTCCCTTTTTTTAAAACACGAGCAGCATGACAATATTATGAAGTATGTTATTTTATCAACCAAGTCATGCAGATACTAAAGACAAAGAAACTCCACGGCCGGTAGTCCACAAGTGAACTAGACTGACCAAGCGACCGCCACTTCTCGGCGAAATTAGCCCCGACTTAGCAGATATAAGGTGTTGCCTGGTCAGCGCAACGGATCCCCACTGCCATTAATCTAGGTTTTCTAGACCGGAGACACTATTTCCTTGAAATAGCTCCTCAATTATCCCCACAAGGCTGAGAGGACCCCGTTCCAGACCAACTACTTCTCAGAAAATCTGGTAGCACCGGGAATCGAACCCCGGACCTCTGGATGTGTAGCCAGGAACTCTGACTACCAGACCACAGAGGCGGTCATGCAGATACTAGTAACTTTAAGTAACTGCAGTATTTCCCCTCTAGTTGGCATACTCAAATAGGAGAAAAAAATAATGATATGAAAATCAAGGCAAGCCACAACAGAGATATGCATGCGGGAGAAGTGGATGAGGAATTACACGCTGGATAAAAATAACCATAGCAGAGACCCAGTAGTTTATTGGAAATTATCAGTGATAATAGGAAACACCGGTACTTGATTATTTACTAATAGTGATAGGAAGCTAGTATTTGTGTAAATACGGTTATACTTTCCTGGGTATGCCTCTGCTGTCATCTATGTGGATCAGTTTATGAGTTATGATTTGTAAAACATATTTTAAAAAGTGGTTCCTTTCTCTCGCAGAGAAACCAAATTAGTTTCATGAATGTCAAAGTTTGTCATACATGTTACTTTACAGTCACAGAACTGCCCTGCTGTTTCTTAGAAATCATGACAAAAATATATTTTGATCTAACTCCAGGGAGCGGAGTTCTAGAGTAACTCATAGATGTTCAGCTTATTAAGAAATTCCCTGCCTTTATGGAACCGGAAAGTTAGTTACTGTGCTCACAAGAACCTGCTACTGGATCCTAACTGAAGTCAGTTTAATCTAATTCAAGCCACCCTGAAACCCTATTCATTTTAGTGTTACCTTCCCATTTACACACAAGTCATCCAATTGATCTTTTCCCTACAAGTTTTCCAACTAAATGCTTGTATGCATACTTTCATCATTCTGCTGTTGCTTCCTCTTAGGTCCAAATATTCTTCTGTATTTCAGCATCCTGTTGCAATTGTTCACATTAGCATTCATTTGTCTATAATCCGTCCACATTACAACACTTTTTATTTTTCACTTTAATACACACTCTAACACTACATGTTTCGGCCTCAAACGGCCATCTTCAGTTTCCGCCCACCCCCCAGATATTCCATTAAGATTATGTCAAAACTGCTACACCGTTTCACTGTTCTAATTCATTTTAAAAGCCACGCACTGTGGTCTTCTTTTTAATTAAAATGAGATAAAATTCTTTTATCGTTTGTTACTTATTGTTTTACTTCACTCAGGGTGTCTTCATTTCCGTAAAATATAAGATGTTTTCCTTGGCAGCTTGTTCCTCACGTTAGTTATTTGCTCCTGGTTTCTGTTTCTTCCTCGACGTGTGGTGTTGTCTTTACTAGTGCTAGTTGTAAGTTGGACGGATTATAGACAAATGGACCAAATATTCTCCTCAGCACTCTGTTTCCAGTATCCTCAATCTGTGCTCTTCCCTTATAATAAGAGACCTTGTTTCAAAATTGTATTTTCATTCAACATTATTTTTCAGTTCTTTTAAAGAGCAGTGAACTTAATCCGTAAACTATGAATTTTTCTTCACATATCTAGTTGCAAAGAAACCAGCTTTTCATTACTGAATGCAATTCCCTGCAAGAGGTCTGTTGCAAAATTTAAACTTGGACTGCAAATAAAAAACAGCCTCCTATTAACAACATCTGCTGGTACATCTTCCTCTCGAGGCGGAACCCAGACATATGGAGTATTCCACTGTACATTGTAGGTAAATGTGGAGGCACTTGATACAGGATTTCGTCTGAAGATGACTACCCATTGGCCAATCTACAACATATTGCACCAACTGTTGGTAACAGCTTTGTTTTAATCTCCTGACCTTTCTCACTAGGGCCTCATAATAAGTGCTGATACACTAAAATAGTAATACAAATAATGATACATATAATTAAAAAACACATAAGCGAGAAGCAGTACTATAATATGTAGTGACCGTTTTCTTCAGTTACATAGTTAGCACCAAAACTTCTCTTAACCGGTTGCAGTACACTTAACACAAATCTCTTGAGAATGTCTTCTAATTAGTTCACTAAGTCCTTTATGAGTATATCAGGAAACTGTTCTGGCATTTTTATATGCTACGTAGCCATTATAAGAATTAGCAAAAAACAGTCACATCTAGTTTTACAAATGAAGCGACAGTAATGACAGCCAAAATACTGGGCTCACAGGTTACAAAACACTGAGAATCCCCTTCTATCCTCTTTATTCTTGTTCCTCCCATAAGAGTAGACAGTTGTCCTGTCTGCATTATGACCAGAACATTCTTGAAGTATAGCACCCAGAAAACTGTGGTTTCAAGGCAAGGGGAGGACAGTCTTAGTGAGTCAGGATGGCTACCGTGGATGTGTGTCAGGGCAGACATGGAATACTGCATGCAGTGAATCACAACTTAGTTCAGCAGAAGACGGAACAAAAGGACAGTGCAGTGGCATATGCTGAAATAACAGTAGACAAGAAAGAAGTGACCTCAACATCCTAAGTGACTTCTGACAATGAGACAGTAACTGTTCAGAACAGGATGAATGTTACAGCATATTACAGTCTGACTGTATTTATAGTACATATGTTTAAATGTTTTAGAATATGCCGTTAGGAAGGCCCAGGAAAACCAGGTGGGACTGAAATTAAACAGGACACATCAGCTGTTAGTTAGTTAGTTATTGGAGAGGGTGGGTTATCCCATGCACTGTGACCAGTTTGATCTATTGTCCTTCCCTCTATGATATTCTACCAGTCTCTATACACTACTGATATTGGTGCATACCATCTGTCCCGACCAAGCCAGCAAGTTCTCTACTGGCTTGGCGGTATCTATAATGCTTCACCCATCTATCAGAGGCATTAGAGACTACTGTTGGGTGGGAAACATCCTTGAATTTGGCTCAGTGACCTCCTTTGGAGATATGAGGTTCTTTTACATGCCGTAAAGCTACGTCACGGAACACATGGCTTAGCGTCCCTCCCGGAGGACTTGTTCCCTGAATTTTTCCACCCTTAAAAATTCGACAACCTCCACCGGGTTTGAACCCACGTACCACGAGTCATGAGGTGGGAACGTTACCTCTAGTCTACGGAGGCCGCTCATCAGCTGTTGGTCTATGCCGATGATGTAAATCAACTGGGTGATAATATAGATACAATAAAGAGGAACGCACAAACCTTACTTGCTGTCTCGTCACCAAAATGCAGGGCAATATCATGACA